CCATGATTGGTAAGGGCCAATGGGAAATTTGGCCAGGACGCCGGGGTTACACCCCTACTCTTTTCGAGAACCGCCCTGGGATTTTTAATGACCACAGAGAGTCAGGACCTCGGTTTTACGTCTCATCCGAAGGACGGCACCTGTTTACACTATAGTATCCCCCTCACTATACTGGGGCATTAGGACCCACATGGACCGCAGGGTGAGTGTCCCCTGCTGACTCAAATGTTATTTCTCAATTGTTTTGGTTCTTTCTTTCCTAAATAGCTGATGTGACTCTGGACTGCAACTCGGCACATCGCAGTCTCATCCTGTTTGCGGATGGGAAACAAGTGAAATATGGAGACAAAAATCAGAACCTCCCTGACACTCCACAGAGATTTGATCCTGTTGTTTCTGTCCTGGGCAGAGAGGGATTCTCCTCTGGGAGACACTACTGGGAGGTGGAGGTGGGGGAGAAGACTGAGTGGACTTTAGGAATTGCGAGAGAGTCCATCAACAGGAAGGGGGAAATTAAACTGAGTCCCAAAAATGGTTACTGGACAATATGGCTGAGAAATGGGAATGAGTTTAAAGCTCTTGCTAGCCCTTCTGTCCTTCTCCCTCTGAGCCTGAAGCCCCAGAAGGTGGGGATATACTTGGATTATGGGGAGGGACAGGTCTCCTTTTACAATGTGGAGACCAGGAATCACATCTACACTTTCACTGACACCTTCACTGAGAAACTGTATCCATACTTCAATCCCAACACCAATGATGATGGCAAAAACTCTGCCCCACTGATCATCTCTCCCACTGAGAAAACCTGACTAAACATGAAATGTTTGTTTTTCATTATGCTCCATATAAACAGCTGATTTATACATTTTGATGATTCATCGTAACTTTAAATAACATTTTTGTGCTTTAATGGTGAAAGTAAATGAAAATGATATATTATATATGAATACATACAAGTATACAGTATATGGTCATCTAGGATTTATTTTTATTTCATACACATTCAAGTTTTTTAAAACTTTTTTAGATTTTATGGTTTTAACTAAATGACTGACATTTTGTTGGTATTTTCTTTAACATGTACTGTATTATACCCTGAGAAAGTGTCTGCTATGCTAATAAATGATAACAGTATGTTTTGTGGCATGGGTCTAGGTACTGCATCTCCAGAATGAGTGAGACTGGTTGCCTTGTTATAAAGATCACCTCTGAAGCAGATCTTATACAGTATCATCATTAAATAAGTTATTTGGAAAGATTTGGAACATATGCCACTTTGGTTAGGTTTTTGAGTTCACTTATTGTAAATCAACAAAGCCTTCTGTGGCATTTTAGAGCTATAAGGTGCAAGGTATTTTAGAAAAAAAGAAAATAGCATCCTAATACAGCCACACTGCCAGGATTAACAGATGCTGTTGTAAACGGATATTCTTATAAAAGGAGTACTTTCAGTTCCATAGCATGAATGAAAAATGTCAATTTTGTTCTATTTAGTATAAATTAAGTATTTACCCAAGGCTTAAAATTAATATTATTTTACATTCTAACATTGTATAAATAGCACCCACTTAGAAGGCCTACTTGCTGTAGAGGCATCTATAAATAGACACAGCTGAATGAAACCACATTCATAGAGCCCTGTCTGCTATCACTGGCTAGAATGCTGCCCAAGACCACAGGACACAGACCACACTGCTATTCGCTGCCCTGCAAATTTGTATGATAAGAGCTCCTTATATCCCAGAGCAACTGTGACTGTCTGCAGGACATCGCTTTTGAAGATGGACAACATTTATGAGAGTATAGAGCTGAAATCCACTGATGTCTATTCAACACTCTCCCAGCTTGGACCTGATGCCCCACACAAAGGGAAATCACAAGGTACCGTCCTGACCCTTATCATGAGGGTTTATTATGAAGTAGAATGCCTCTGGGAAAATAATGGGCCTGAAAAGAAAATGTCTGATGAATCCAATGGATTTTTCACTCAGATGTTTATCAAGGAATAAACCAGCAACATGTCTGGGGCATAGTGTAGACTGTGTTCCATATTAAATAGAAGAGGCAGAGATGTTACAAATACTAGAACCACTTAGAACAAATTTCGGGGGTAAGACTATAGCCTATCAATTGCAAGAAGGACATGGGAAATATTGTTACAGCTGTAGCAGCCAATGGAAGTGTCTCAAAGAGACAATGGTTAATGCCTAGGTAGTGTCAACATTTCCAGCTTCAAAGCAAAGTGGGGTGTTTACTGAGATGTAGGGGGTATAGTTTCGGAAATCAAAGCAATGGTTACGTTTACTTTGGTTTACCTTGGTCAATTCAGTTTGGGGTAAATAGTTAAGTGCCAATCAGCAGTCCAGAAAGACACCATTTAAGAGAGCAGAAGATCAGAGCACAGAACATAAAGCCTGTACCAGGCGAGAGTTTCTTGTTCGAGAAGACCCCACTGAAGCTAAACGTTTGAACCGTGTTAACCTTGAATAAAAGCGACCTTTTCTGCTTTGTGGGTGCATTTTAGAATAGGGAGATAACCTTCCCAATTATTTGGTGGCATCTGGGTTGGAGATCTGTTCGTAGGTTGTATTCTATTTAGTTTAGAAGGCAGCTTATCTCTTCTTTGGCCTCTGTAGGCATTATTTAAGAGTTGAATACAGTAGGTAGCAGTCTGGTGGTTTTCTGGTTGGTCTATACATACAGTAGGTCTCTGAAACGCCTTGTCTGTCAGCCTGTAAATAGAGAAACGTGTGTGTTGTGTGTAGTGAAGTGTGTGTATTGTCATCGGAGGTGTCATTAATACATATTTGTTTAGCCAAGAGTGCCTGAATTATTACTCTTTTCACCAAAGCTGTGCCAGAGAACAAAGAATGAATGTACTGTAACTATGGCCAGCAGCCATATCACTCTGCAACTCACAGCTGGCAACCCACTGAAGCTAAGCAGGTGTGAGCCTGGTCAGTAGTTGAATGGGAGACCTCCTGGGAAAAACTAAGGGTGCTGCTGGAAGAGGTGTTGGTGGGGCCAGCAGGGTGTGCTAACCCTGCAGTCCATGTGAATCCTAATGCCCCAGTATAGTGACGGTGCACTATACTGTAAACAGTATATGAGACATAAAACCGAGGTCCTGACTCTCTGTGGTCATTAAAAATCCCAGGGAGTTTCTTGAAAAGAGTAGGGGTGTAAACCCGGCATCCTGGCCAAATTTCCCATTGGCCCTTACCAATCATGGCCTCCTAATAATCCCCCTCTATGAATTGGCTACATTACTCTGCTCTCCTCCCCACTGAGAGCTCATGTGTGGTGAGTGTTCTGGCGCACTATGGCTGCCGTCGCATCATCC